ATTTTACATTACATGATACCCAGATAATATAATTATAAGTTATATTTTAATTATATTCTGTTATACTGCATTATATTTGAATATGATATGTTAAATTAAATCACATTACATTAATTACATTCATTAGATCACACTCATCATACATGTAGCAGAACCCATGTATAATGTATATAATACATACATTCACATATATATATATGTATATATATATGTATATGTATATATATGTATATGTACATACATACATACATACATACATGTATATATATCCATATACATACATGTACTATATATTTAATAAGGTATAATTATATAAGAATATACAATTGTCATACACGTTACATTAATGCTTCCTAGAGGTTCCATTGCATCTCCGCTCCTGACGGCGCCCAGGGAGACCTATGGAAACAAGAACCATTGCACTTCACAGCACCACCACCCTAATCAAGGCATGGTGCATTGGACTGACTCATGCACGCGCTGGTCTAGGGTGAGGGCGAGGCAGAACCACCGTATTTAGCTGGCAGTCATTATAACTATAAATAACCTAAACTAAATTACAGACGGAGCTAGACATGATCAGTCGTCGTATTAATTCATATGGTTAAACCCATGAGGTGGATCATGTGGTCGACTTATCACATAACCCTGTAGCAACTCATATGTAACATCGGGTGTCCATCCTTTGCTCCTGTGACTATGACTATGACTATGACTCATAGACTATGACTCATATCATGTGCGGTGTCCGAGACTACTGCCGTATGTATGCTGGCCATACGACTACATAGACTGTACTGGACTTTACTGTACTCAGTCCTACATGGTGGCCCGTGTCTCCTAAGTTTGCACGAGTCAACCCATGCCTCCCCCCCGCCATCTCCGTTCCACCAGTGCGGTACATTCGTCAGCATTTGTGTACAGTCGATGTGGAGCAGTGCCCTGAGTGTGTTTGCCCTTCAGACCTCACATGCTTACCTAGCCATCAGGTGGCGATGGCATAGCTGGATGCGGCGATAACTGTCATTGTACATCACATCAACCGCCATCATCGGCCTATCCGTGTGCAGGGCACTGTGCATCATCCTAATCTGTAGTGCTTCTTAGGAGGTTCAGTACATTAGGCGAGGGGAGCCATCACCACACAAAGACGGGACGAGCGAGATGAACACAAGAAAAAGAACACGGGCTACCGTGCTTCCTGCTTGAGTCGCTTGAACATGTCAGGGAACCACTGTGATCCTTGCCGCCTATGCATGTGTGAGTCGGGTAGGACACGCCATCCAGAGTCGTGTTCGCTCAGCGGTTCCGAGCCACAGCAATCCCCTCGAGAGTGGCGTCGTTCGCATAGCAGCACGAGTATGCGGGCATGGGTCGGTGAGTGTTGACAATTTTGTGAATTTTGTGTGTCTTTTACAACTTTTATACTTGTTTCTCTATCTTCGATCCAAGAAAATCAAGAGTTGTTGTAGCGAGCGATATGAGTAGGACTCCTGACTCATGACTATGACAATGGCATGCTACATCCGGGCACTATGTAGAGCCTTCCCGTTGTAAGCCCCGTTCAATTCGTTCACCTGCCATGGGCGGCAAGAGGAAGACGACGTCGCCCCCGGCCGTCAAAGCGAAAGCGAAGGCTAAGACCAAGTCAACAGCAGCACCCAAACGTGGTGGAAGGGCGGTGGAGGAAAGCACACCTCTCGTCCCGCCGTTCCCGTGCCGGGACGTGGGTCAGATGTTTGCAGCATCATCCAAGACTGCAGAGGGTGGCAAGGACTGTCTTCCGATCGCAGCAGTGAAACTACGACTTACATAATTTATAGGCTTATAGCCCTGTAGCCTTATTAGCCTATAGCCTATAGCTTATAGCCCTTACAACTTATAACTTATAACTTAACTTATAACTTAAAGCCTATAGCCATTAGCCTTATAGCCTATAGCCTATAGCTTAGATCAGGTTTATACTTGTTAGTCGTGGGGCCATAGTTATAGCCATAGCCATGGTATAGTCATGGAGTCACAGTCATAGTCAAAGTCATAGTCACAGTCATAGCAGTCATAGCCTACAGCTGCCTCGTTACAAGCTGGAAGATAATCACTTTGCCAAGTAATGAACAGTCATGAATCTGTGAATCATCAAGTTGTAGGTGGTAACTTGTAACTAACATGGTCTATAGTAAGTAAATCTGTTTACTAAGTAACAGGTACAGTATAATAAATATATAATACATAATTTACATAATGGTTACTGCTAACATGAGTAGTAAAACTAATTATAATAATCAACCATAAAATTAGCTCATAAACTTATAACACGAATAGTACTAGAAATATCCTTCAGCATAGTTTTAATAATAATAATACTAATGATAGACTGAGCAATGATAAGCATGAATCATGCTAACCCGACTGGTTCGTAATACTTTTATACTAGTATAAATTACTGCTGACCGATTCATGACGCAGTATGATGCGATATAGTATACCTATGATTTGTTATGTATCGGTAATATCATTGCTAGCCTTGGTGTCGTATTAGTGTTATTTATCGCATTGCTGTGTCTATTGTTACTTATAACGTAAAACGTTAACACCAACAAATTGATGCCACTCTATTTTAAAGTCTTATACTTGGCCTATGTCTTTAATCTATATTTAGGTCAAGCATTGCCAGCCAGAATCAGCACAAGCGTCTCACAACCTAAACCGGCACCTGTAGCCTATGCCTATTGCCGATAGCCTGTAGCAAGTAGCCGTTTGTAAGCCTAGAACTTACAGATTACGACTATGACTATACCGTGTAACTTACACCTTATAGCTTAGCCATGCAACACCGTCATTAGCTAAGCTTAGCTTAGCTTGTTTTTTTTATGACTCTTGGCACGGCTGATGAGCTGACACTATGGTCCATGACCACAACTCCACAAGTCAAGACTCGCAGCTTCTGTATACTGTGGCCGGATTCATGCTTCACAGGACACGCGAGATGAAGACAGTGATGCCGTCCGTCAGTGCACAGATGCACCCATCTTAATTATGCGCTCGTCGTGCAGATCGCCGCAAGTTTGCCATGTGCTGTGTATATAAGTTTATATTATGAGTTGTATAAGTGCAGAGTGAGGTGCCAGATGACCGTCCACGTGATGACCTGGAGATGGAGTTGGAAACACTGCTCGAGCAGGAGGATGAAGACGACACGGGCTGTGCTGTGGAGAGCCCCACCGTGAGGAACTTAGTTTGCATCCACAGCCGAGCCACAAACCACTGCCGATCACGCATTTAACGTCGAAGGCGTAGTCGAGTCATACTGAGAATGAACGATGATGCTCCATGATGCTGCCGATGTTGAGGATGATGACAATGATGCTGGTACTGATGATGATGAATACTGTAATGTTGTAATACGGTCCGGTAATGAGTCATACTGGTAGTACCACTATTAATAATGCAGTAATACTAGTAATACAGTAATACTGTAATACTAATACTGTAATACTGTAATACTGATACTTACCAACATGCCTTTCTACACACGAATCATACTCGGAGTCATTTGGTCACGCGTCTTGAGTCATGGAGTCATACGGCATAATTAATAATGAGTCATAGAGTCATAGGCCACAGGAGTCATCTGAGTCATAAGTTATAAGTCATAAGTTATAAAGTTATAAGTCGCACTACGTACCGTATGACATACTCGTCTGAGGCCGTGCCCAGTGGCGACGCCACAGCCATACCACCTGGGCTACAGAGTGAGGACGGCCAGCCTTCGAGCGAGGCTCAAGTCGAGACTCCGCACCCGCCCAGTGGTGACGCTCCACCCCCAGCCGAGACCCCTAGAGTGCAGGAACAAGATGTCCAGATGTCCACGGAGACCCACTCTTCCGCCAATTCCCTCGCAGCAGACGATCAGGAGACCCAGGTGTTGGCGAAGGCCTCCACACCCGCCCAGTGCTGCCGCTCCGGCCGCGACCTGCAGAGTGCCGGATCCAGACGACCGGATGTCAGTGGAGGCCCCTTCCTCCGCCAATACCCTCGCAGTAGACGATCAGGAGACCCAGGTGTGGACGGAGGCCTCGGTGCCTCCGCACCCGCCCAGTGCTGCCGCTCCAGCCGCGACCCCCAACATGCCGGATCCGGACGTCGGGATGTCACTGGAGGCCCCTTCCTCCGCCAAGACCCTCACAGAGGACACCCAGCAGCATGCGGATGCCTCTTCCGTGCCTCCGCACCCGCCCGGTGCTGCCGCGCCAGCCGCGACCCCGGGAGTGCCGGATCAAACTGTCCCACCGTGCCCGGAAATTGGCGACGACCCGGCCAGGACCCTTGGAGTCCAGCCTCAAGATGTCCAGATGTCAACGAAGGCACCCGTTAGTGGATTTTCCACCATGAACCATAAGTAACGAAACCATTTATATAATTATATAATATAATATATTATTTATAATATATATATATATATTATAAAGAAATACTCATGAGTCATGACTCATAATTAGTAACACTGTCCTGAACAATACTGTCTAAGTTCGAAGTTCAACGCATAGTCAGCATAAGTTTGATTATTCTAAGAACAATGTTAAATTGTAACTGTAATTGTCAAATTGTGACTATACTATGCTGCTGTTGTTATTAGATTACTACTACTGCCACTACTATTTACTATACTACAGAAACTACTGCTACTGCCGCCGCTGCTGCTGCTGCTGCTGCTGCTGCTGCTGCTCCTGCTGCTGCTGCTGCTACTACTACTACTACTACTACTAACCATACCGTACTTTTTTTAATAATCCATAATTATCTAATTGTTTGTAAGTTATAGTTATAATTTATAATTAATAATACCATAATTATAAACTATAAATTATAACAAATAGCTAGGTTATAATTATTGATTAAAAAATAATAATACATGTAATTTAATGATAATGTAATAATGATGATGAATAATACTAACTAATCATACCTACCGACAGAAAAAAATAATACGTGACCATGCTAGCATTTTTTTGTGTCTAGACCGCGGATTTATATGGTTGGTCAGACTCAACTTGATAGTATCTGCCCGAGCAGGTGGCGGGTCCTGCCGGAACTACAGGAACATCACAGGACATAGCATCCCTCATCAGCAGTATCATGAAGGGGAAGGCCAAGGACGCTCAGCCCCAGGAAGAGTCCTCCGCACGGCAGGAAGACCCGCCCGACTCACACATTCATGAGACAGAGCCACCACCGGGCCCGTTGCGGAGTTCGTCTGGGCATACACCAGCTATGCCATATGATGTGTGGAGAAGGGCCGTCAGTGCAGGAGAACCTGCACGGTTCAAGGTCTTTTACGACCATGCCAGCGAGGAGTACTTCCGGTGGCTACATACAGAGATTGGGCACAGCCTGCAGATGGCCACGGGGGACGATCTCGCTCAGTTCCAGGAAGAATGGCAAGAAACCTGCGAGGCAGACGAGGAGGTCGCTGAGGATATATGGGCCTTCTTTTGCGTCCGGCCCATCGAAAAGCTCCGGCTTCTACGCGAACACCTCCAGGAACGAGACGAGCAGATGGACTCGGACGACCCCAAGTACCGCGTGGACTTGCCCGAGCTGCCGGACAAGTTAAAGCATCTTGCAGAGCGGCTGCCCACGTTGCCTGGGAGTTTGCGTGAGGTTAGCTCCACCGAGCCAAGCGCCAAGATTGGCAGCAGCAGCGATCTCTCTCGGATGCCGTCGCACCAGGCATGAAGCTGTTTGGCAGGGCTGTGGCTGTATCATTATTAATTGAATTAATTGTGTATTATAAATTATAAATTATAAAGTATAAAGTACAATTCGGCAGGCCCCGACGTCGGATGATGGACATGAAGTCAACGACGACGCCGACATGCCACCTGTTGTGGATGCGACACCCGATCAATGGGACGCTTACATCAGGAAGCAGATGGATGCCTACCCGTGTGATGACCTGCTAAGGCAGGCAGCCCTGGCGACCTGCATGCACCAAAGGACCAAGGACGCCAGTTCTATCATGCTATGTCACTATCGTCTAGAGTCGACTATAGCCTATAGTCTATAGTCTATAGTCTGTAGTCTATATAGTCTATATAACTTATATTATATAACTATATAGTTTTTATTACATGCAGTACATGCAGATAATTACTTTATAAATTTATCAAGTTTATCAGGCCATAGCACTAAATCTAAATTAAATACCATTGTTGCTGCCATTAGTAATTAAAGTTATTGTAGAACTTATAGACTATACTGACTATACTGACTCTACTGTCTATGGATGATTCGATGATTCATGATTCTTCGTGCCGTGTTATATAACTAAGTGACATTAAGCGTCACGTTGGTAATCAGTCACACAAACACAGTCAGTTCCAGTGCGTGCGCACACCCCA